CAACCCAGCTCAACATGCTGCATTACCAGGCATATGTGTAAACAGGATGCCCAGGAAGCAATAAACTTGACTTAATTGCACATATAGATGTACCCTCAGTGACTTAAGACTACTCCAGTGTAACTAAGAGCAAGTTTCAGGCTGGTTCTTACAGAGAAACATTGAGACACGTGGACAAAACAATATGTGGAAGCTTATGCTATTTTCTTTGTTTTGTACGTGTTATGCTAAGGTTTCCATTGACATTTGTGGAAGCAGGATTTAACTTTATCTGAGATGTCAGGTCAGTGTTTTTCTGACCCCTGGAAGCAATGAAGCACTTTTAAAAGGAAAAAATCCCAACTGTAAATCCATCTGCCTTTAGTATCCTACATAATGACCTGGGTGAGATCTAGATACAGGACTGGGCAGCATATTATGAAAGTTTTATTTGAATTATTTTTTATAATAGATAAGAGTATAAGAGTTTTATTTTAGGTAATAACCTTTTAACAACTGAGGAGTATATGACCAAGAGTTTTATAAAAATGAGTGCATATGTAAGTCTCTTGAGTCCATGAATATGCACCTAACTGTAGTCTTGATTTTTCTAATGTGCTGAACAGCCACTAGCTCCCATCAAATTCAAGGAGAGCCGCTACATGCTCAGAATTTTTTGAAAACCAGGTATGTCCATGTAGGCTCCTACCAAAAGATTTATACACCAATATTTTTTAATATCTTGTCCTAAATAAATACATTTAGAGCTTGAGAGATCCTTTGTGATTTTTGGTGGGCCCTGTTTTTTTGGTGTAAATGCCACTCTTGACATTTTCCCATCCATGCTGCTGCTCTCAGGGCCTGTTTTGGTGCTAACGCAGGATAGTGGAAAGGTACAGGCACAACATTTTGTGGCCCAAGGAGAGTATAGGAGAGGTAAGTTCCATTTATTTCTAACATTATTATGTTCTTTTATTAGACCTTTAAACTTTATTTGAATTCTTTATTTGAAAAAAGGGGCTATCATATTTTAATTAGTAGCAGTGTCAAAGGAGAGCTAGATTAATTATTGGAATTCACTCCATCCAGATGGTTTTAATTTTCACAGCAGGGAACTGGCATCTTTTTAAGGTGATATTTTTCAAATTAAAATCAGCTTGGATAGTATTCATACATGTTGCAGTTTGAGGGAGACATGGCGGGTTTTGGTGTTTTTGAGCCTACAACTTGTACATAAGTGTGCTGTGCCTCAGTGAAATAATCATTTGAATTGAAAAGAATCAGGTTGTGTAACATCAGTGTTAAGTCCATCAAATGGGGAACAGATGGCTTAAGTCCCTAGCAATGGGAGAGAAGGTGTTTTCATTATTAGATTGCTTTTCTGCATGCCAGTGACCAAAGCTATTACCTGATGCTCAACTTCATACTTGGCAGTTTTACCAGAGGCCAAGGACCAAGTGAACATAGAGAATGAATGACTCATACTGTTTTGAGAATGTTTGAGGCTCAGAATTGGCAAGCAATGTTGCATTGCCCCATTCTTAGTTGCTCTCTCACTATGCTGAGGACTTTTGCTCCAGTGGTGCCTTCCATTTTTTATCCCCGTTAGTTCACACATCTGGGCAGAATTCTACTGAGCATCATACTTGGACGTCTCTTTTGGTTCTCTTTTTAGTGCCGACTTCATGACCCCTTTTGGCCCAATAACCTGCACTCTGTTTTCCCTTCTCTCTCCTGTATTACACGATTTGTGGTCCTGTGGCACTTCCCTCATTTGGGGGCATGGGTGTCTTATTCTTATGGGTTCATACCTACATTCTCCAGTATTCCCTTTGCTCCAGTACCTTGTCCATTCCTACATATCCTTTTCCTGGGTAAAGTTCCTCTGATGCATCCACCAACTCCTTGGAAGAATAGGCATTGCCTAAGGTTCACAAATTGGTGTTCTGTTTGGGATCCTCCATTTTTACCCCATTAATTGTTCTCCCATTCTTTTTTTTCCATTTGTTTCCCAGAGTCTGTCAGTTATTGGATTCTGTGTCCCTCTCCTTTGAGGGGGTGGGTATTCAATTGCATTGTTGTCCTCTTCTCAGGTAAGGAGATACGATCATCGTATCCAGTTATCACTGCAAAGCCATCCTCCAAGTTCTACTTATGAAATAGGCTGGCTCCTTTCTTAAGAACTTAAATCAATATATAGAATTATATGTATATTTATTTGTATATAGAATGCGTGTGTGTGTGTGTGTGTGTGTGTGTGTGTGTGTGTGTACTGGTAGGTAATGCATACTTTATCTGTCCCTTGATAGTGGTTTAATTTGGTGTAATAACCTTTAAACAAATTAAAAATCTAAAAAAATGTAAATTCCTATTGAACTTTTGTTAATCATAGAAATAAAACAAAAACTTGCATATCTGAGCTCCAGGTGTAAAGTTCTATTGAGGGTCCTTGTGAGTTTAATTTTTTTGATACTTTACACTTCTGGAAAGAACCAAAAACAGATTTTACAAGAGACAAAAATATTAACAAGTTTAAATGAAACAAACTCACATGTTTGTCCCCATGGTAAATTTCTTATAATGAATATTTTTGCTGTCAAAGGGTCTTAAAGTCTGAAATATGAATGTAAAAAAGAATGTGCCTTTTTGTAGCATAGATTAACTATTCCCCAATGTTTAGGCAAAGCTGGATTTTAGGGTGTATTTAAATGCCTATTTGTGGTCTTAATCCACCCTGGTCAAAGCCCTGAAAAAACATTAATGCACTTTTTAAACATACCATCATGTCAGATTTAAGACTAAGTCACAAAAAGCAGCAAATAGGAGGATTACCTGTCCTACTTTTCATTGACTGTTTTTCACAGACTCAAGTAGGGTGCAATAGTCAGTAGCATAACTGAGGAGGCAATCAGGGCAGCCTCAGGTGCTGTCTTTTAGGGGGAAAGTGTGCAATTGGCACATCAGAAGCCAGCTCTGTCTTGTGCATTGCAGCTGCCCTGGGTGTGGAGCTGCCCTTCTGTGCCTCTGCAAACAGTGTGATACTTAGGTACTTAAATCCATTTAGGTGGAGCAGGATCTGGCCCACAGTTCTTACAGACATGTGAATTAGCAGTACAAGGTCATGTTTGTATATTCACTGATGTTTATATATTCTTCCATAATATGTCTGCCAGGTCTGCTTTCTGTTTGAAAACTAGAGATGGGGTATGAACTGAAAGACCAGATCTGAACTCCCTAAACTTTCTGAGAGATGTTTGGGAATCTGAATCTTGATCACACTCTGAATCTGCCCCCTATCTCTGAAATAAGACCAAATGAAAGACTGAATTAAAATGCAACCAAATTTTGGTTGTGGTGAGGTTGAACTGTAGATCTGGATGAATTTTAGTTCAGCTCTGCTGATGAACATGGCAGGATAGTACATTAATTTAAGACTACATAGCAGAAAGCCCCTCTTCCATGGACACTGAATCATGGAAACTCTGCAAACTAACCTGGTGACTCTAACAGATGTATATAGCATTGTATGGCTAGCTAAGCACTTCCCTTCCATAGGAAAGTTTAGACTGCCCAACTTGACTGCCAGGCTATCTGTTGGTGGGCTCCTGGGAATGTCAGGGTATGCATAAAGAACTGTTTCATTAACCAGCTTCTTTCCTGCTATTGCAGAGGCAAAGCATTGGCTTTTGCTTATGACAGGGCTGTCCAACTTCTGGGCAGCCAGAGACCATATACCATGTGGGTCCTAGTCCTAGGGTCCACATGAGGTATGGGATGCAGACCAAGGAGTCACTTGCTGTATGGGCAGCTCCTTTCCCACTCTCTTCCAGTGTGTAGGCAGCCCAGCGTGCCCCCTGCCCTGTGCACCATGTTGGTAGCCTGGATGATCCTCCCTACCACCAGCACAGGCAGCCCAGCTCCATCCTGCTGCAGATGCAGCACCCTCCTCCCCTGGCCAAGTGCACCACCCACCTGCAGTATGGGCAACCCAGACACTTCCTTTGTTTTGTGTGTAGCACAGGCGCTCTGCCCCCTTTCCCCCACCCACCACCACACCTGCACTATGGGCACTGCAGGCCCTCCCGCTGCACTGCCACAACCCAGGAAAGAGGGCAGGAAGCAGAGGGGGAGTCCAAAGAACACTGCTGCCACAACAGGAGCAATGGCAGGGCAGGTGAGAAATGGTGGCTGGCTGGGAGCCCCTGGGCCACATGCAGGGGTCACTTTAGGCGTCCTATGTAGACTGGGGGCTGCCAGTTGGACACCTATGGTTTGTGGCATGTTGTATAGAGTAATTCTGGTATTTGGGGTATTCTGTCTTGTGGTTATGTGTGAGAGGCTGAAGTGGCTTGCTTGGGTAAGTGATTGCCTGTGAACATGGGGGGACTGGATGTGATGGCCCAGGAGGCTCCTTCCTGTTCTACGTTCCTGTGTCCTTATCACAAAACTATGATACGGCTCCTTTATTGGCTGTCAGCAAACTGGTCAAAGCTAAAAGGGGGAATGAAAACTGACCAGAGCATCTTTTGTCCCTCTAAATTAAGGATGTGATTCTTGTGACTCTTGTGGGGAGCTTGCAGTCTCACTGATAATGCTGACCTGTGGCAAAAGACTTCAGTTTTCACCAGGCTGATGATCTAATTCCTAAGGCTGAAATTTGAAGGTGATTTCTGTACCATGTGTATATGCTAATTACATAGCTGTGCTCATGTGGATGAACAGCATGTGTCTGTGTGTGTACAAATTCTCATTATATTGTCACTGGTCTGGGGTAACCCCATTGAAGTTAAAGGGTTTTTTTAAAGATTTACACCTGATTTACACCCGAGAAGAATTCAACCTATGGTCAAATGTGTGGGTCATTTGTTTGCTTGTTTTTCATTAACAACACTGCATGGTTTGCAGTGTTTGCTCAGTGATTCAGGTGAACGTAGGAGAAGAATTCTGGACTGACTTTCCTTGCTCACTTCAAGATTTGATCTTACTGCTCTAGTAAATGTTTTTTTTTTCCCCTTTACAAGCCCAGCTTCTAGTGGAAACAGACACATTTGGCAGTCAAGTCCGGATCAAAGGGAAAGAGACAGACTTTTACCTTTGCATGAACAGGAAAGGCAAGCTAGTGGGGAAGGTAAGTGTTTCCTATTAATTCATTTGTAACATGAGCGTTACCTTTAGCAGCGACTGTGAAGCCATAATGATGTGTTCCGAACTTTGCCTGTCAAGCCCAAATGAAAAGCAGGACTTGAGAAATGTAGAATTCTTAAAACAGACCATCCCTTTACCAGCCCCTCCCTCCCCTAGTCCATAAAATAAAGCTCTGCTCCAACCACTGGGATTTTATTACTGAAGTTTTGGGTATGCACAGGTTTCCATTTTAGAGTTGCATAAATTGACAAAAGATGCATGCATCTCAAAAACAATTGAGCACTTGCCTTACATGCTATAAATCTCTTTTTACCTTGGTGGTAAAAAATTTTTTATAGGAACATGCGAAGGAGTTTAGCAGTGTGTAATGCCTGCTTTAATAACAAGAGTCAGAATATAGCATAGCAAAGCTAATATTGGAATCTGAACATCTTATTAGAGCCGGGCCTCACGGTTCTAGCATTACAGGAATATTTTATTACTTTGGATCTCCTCACAACAGAAGCATGTAACAAATTACAGCACATTCGCACATGTAGCTTAACTTCTTTGCTGAAGTCATATTTTTTATGTATTAACTTGTTTTCGTAACCTACACAGTTTCTTTGTATTGTTGGCATGTCCAAAACTTAATAATCAGGCAGGCAGCTGTTCAAGGAGAAAATGTCACCAAATACCCATAAAAAGCCCCCACCCTCTCCACCACATGGTATTAAAACATTGGCATCCCTGCGGCCACGAAAAAGTGGAGCTGAATTTTGTTTTGAGTCAACAAAGGCGGAGCACTGAAAGCCACATTTCCAAATAGAAACCAGGTGTCAATTGCTCTGATGAAATGTTATTTACTATTGTGGTCCCAAAAAAAGGCACTGATGAGACAAGTGTCTTGATGCAAGGTTTTCTCCTGCAACTTTCAGTCATCCCAGCAGGGGAGCTCAGGAGAATAGGGGCTACTTCCAAGATGAAGACCATTGTTGTCAAAAGCACTCAATAATTTTAGCTGCCTCATTTAAGGTGCTGGTGAACAGGATTTTTGAAGTGTTCAGAACTCCATCTGACATCAGTCAGATATATAAATTCTACGGGTCCACTAGTTCCAATATTAGCCAAAGACTAGGGCAACCCCGCTGCTCTGCCACAGAGATCCTGTATAACCTTCGGCAAGTACCTTGTGGGGGCCACATTTTTAAAGGCACTTAGATACCAAAGTATAAGGATTGGTGCCCAATTACCTTCCTGGAAAAAACTGAAGGTAAGGAACTTTAGGCATCTAGATACATTTAAAAATTGATCCCTTATTTCTTTTTGACACCATTCCCCATCCTTAAAATGGGAATAGTAGTATTTCCTACCTCACTTGGCTGTTATGAGGGTAAATGCACTAAAATTTGTGAGATGTGGGGAAACCATAGTAATCAGGTGACATCAGTACCTGTGCTAGGCAGTGTAAAGTGCCACCATTCCAATTTGGTAGCATTTATGTAGTCCTTACACCAGTGCAAATCGCAGCACAGGGTGCAGGGCAATCCCAACTAAACCTGATGTGGCATAAGTGGACCATCCAGAAAGAAACTTGTAAAGCAGAGGGCCACCTGTGAAAACTTAAATTCAAGTCTTTGCAAATCAGTCCTGTAATGTGGCTCCATGGACAAGAGTCAGGACACGTATTTTGCCTGTCATCTTCATGTAGCATGATGGTTCGCTTTCTTTTGATGTGCTTTTTGGGACATTTTGTTGGCAAACAGTTTATTTAATTTTTTTTTCCTTGTACATATCACATCTGAGCCTTCCCACGCCACTCCAGCAAAGCCCCAGATTGCTGACAAGTTCATAAAACATGCCGACCTGAGCAGGAGGGGGTATTGAACGTTCTGTTTGGAAGGAAAATGTTCCAGACGCGTTGCCCATATTAACAGCTTTTCAAGAGCAAAAAAGAAAATAATAGCATGTCTTCTTGATACCAAAGAGTGTGGTTTTAATTAGTATCATAGTTTCAGCTCTTTTTGTGGCAAGAGTCTGAGGGAACGCTTTTTATACCAAATGCTCGAAACAGCTAGTAAACCCCAAGGAAAACATTAGATAAAAAATTGTGCCTGGACTAATGCAAATATTTCAGTCCATTCTGGGGGGAGGAGAGTGAAACCCATAAACTGATCATTTTGTTGTTGCCCCATTGTGCTCACTGGGCAATCGTGAGACCTTGGGGCAAAGCTGATTCTATTTCCCTGCTCGTTTCCGATTGCCTTACACTGCATAATCCCTAACAATACCAACACATGCCATCTGGCTTTGTTCTCCTTCTCAGTCAGTGCTTTTGGATTCCCCCCAGTTGAAAACCTGCTTTGAATTTAGTTCTTTTTGTTTCCCATAATCACCTACAAAGGGTATTACAAATCAGAGCAGGTTGTTGTTATTCTCAGTTGGAACTTCTGACGAAAGTAACCATTTCAGAAACTGGGCCTGTTCCCTACCTCGGAGCTAGTTATGTTACAGGCAAACAGATTAATCCTCAGGGTTCAAAAGAGCAGCCTTCATTCTTCTCCTTTTTTTTTTTTTCATCAGGCCTTGCTTATGTCTTTGCCAGCTCCTCTGAGTCAAGGCTTCCAATGGAGCTGTCTCAGGAGCACAAAACCGTGTGTTGCCAGTGTTCCAGTATCTTTCTTGTTTGCTAATGTTTGTGACTTCACAGCTAACATTGGCCAAAGGTCTTAAGAGTGTTATGGGTAGGACTCTAACTCTATTTATTGTCACAGCAGGCAACTTCTGAGGTCAATTGTGTTCCATGCGGTGCATATGAAAACTGGAGGGTAGGCAGGTGTTCTGTGGGAAACAACTTTTCTGTCTAAGGCAACCTGCATAGGGGAAAAGCAAATTGGACTCTCTCCTCTTACTTGCTTCATGATGTTGTATGAGAAAGGCCTGAGAGGGGCTTTTTTCCCCTTTCAAGCCAATTTTTTTACTTGAATGTTATTTTTTAATTCACGTAATATATATTTTTTGTATTTTAGAAATGAGCACATCTTAAATGCTCTGTTTTGCTAGAGGTTTCTATGGACAACTGCAGAGCTCTTGGGATGACCTCACTGGGAAAAAGATGGATTGAAACTTGAGTAAATGAGACACAGGCATAATTGGCTGCTAGTGTGACTCTTCCTCGCCTCCCGCCCTCCCCCCTGCACCCTCCCTGCAGTAGCTCTGGCAGTGGGGAAGGCAAAGAATTGGTGGCATGTAATGCAGGGGTAGCCATTGGTTTGCTGCTGCTGAGCCAGATGTCGCCTTTTTATGCTGACATACATGCTGAGCAACAAAAAAACCCACTGGTTTTTGGTGGCAAAAAAGTATGTGATGTCTCCCCTAGCGACAGCAAGTCACTGGTTGCTCCTGCACTGTATGCTGTGGCTGCAGCCAGAGATGGAGCCACTTCAAGGAAGGTGCAGGGTATAGAAGGAAATGGGGAATGGAGGATGAGAGAGTGAGACTCCATTCTGGTGCCTGCCACCCCCTTAGGCAGCGCCCAAGGCTTGCCCATCCACTGTTAAGATACCGAATTCAGAGAAGAAGGAGACTGTTTAGATAAGTTCAGTGGTGCTCAACCCCTGGCCCCTGAACCAGATCTAGCCTGTGGAGTCATGTCATCCAGCCCATGGATCTCCTCACAGGTCTGGAAATTTGGTGATGGGGGAGTGGTGGCAGTACTCCCTTGCTGCCAAATTTCTGGATCCATGGGAAGCCCTTTGAACCAGATAATGTGGCTCTGTCCCACCACACAGGGTTACTCTGCAGCCAGATCTAGGCACATGGTTGAGCCTATGTGTGGATGGGTATGGGCGGGTGGGGTCAGGTTGGCCCATGGCTGCATCTGAGCACATGGGGTTGAATTAGGTGCGATCCCACAAACCAACCTACAGAGTGACCCCATGCACCCACCCCATGCAGAATCTGGCCTGCAAACCAGCTCTGCCACTCGTGTAGCCAGTGGGCCCAAAAGGGGTGGGGTGTCACTGGTTTAGACCTTTGTTTTCTGTACTGTTTTGTTAATAGCTATTTAATTTAAATTTCTGCCCTATACTTGTAGAAGAGGGTTCTCTAAATTAAGGGCATGATTTTCCATCTCCCTTCAAATTAAAAATAAGAAACCTTCTGCTCCATCTCTGTACTCATCTAGTTTTAGCAAACCCCCTCAGTACTGAGACTTCCATAGTAAACAAATCTATGTTCAAATATGTTCCAGACAGTGCAATAACCAAAGACCAAACTCCATCACTTTGACTGGTACACATGCATGCTTGCATGCTCCCTCTCACCCGTGATTCTCAGTCCTGAATGCACACAGATATCTTCACATACTTCTCTACAGATCACCTGTTAATTGTAATAAACACAATAGCATTGGAGACACTTCCATAGAGCCCAGCTGACAATCTGTCTCAGTTTTCTTAGGGACTATTCACTTCCATTTTTCCTGGCTACTGTGACACTCAGAGCTAAAGTCTGTTTCACCTTTATGCACCAAAGTGGTACCTGCATGGCTGTGTAAGTGTAAATGGATGTTTTTGCACAGCTTGGGTTCTGTTTCCAGGTTTGCCTAGGTGCATACATACCTCCTGGAAGGTGAGAAGGGAGGAGGATTGCCCTCACCTTTCAGTTCATGATTTATGCACTCGCACAGGTTCTAGGCCACTGTCTTCTCCAAATGGGATCTCTCTCTCCCCAGCAAAGAGATTTAATCACTAGGTTCTGGACTAGTCATTGCCAAGAGCAGTCTACAGTTTTTCCGTTGTTGTATGTGATATTCATTGGATAAAATATATGAACAGCAGTGGGATAATTTGTACCCCAGCAGGGCAGGAACAGAGCAGACACAGGATCCCTCCCTTCCAGGGCCGTCTCCAGGCAGCATGGAGTCCTCTCCCTCTTGCTTTTCCTCCTTCTTGCCCCACATATCTTTGCAATTAAGTAGCTATGTAAGTGCTGCTTAGGCAT